ATTTCACCAAAATTCCTTTCTCCAAAGTTACTAATGTTCTCTTAATTGGCAAATCCAGTGGCCTTTTCTCTTTCCTCATTTTCCCAGTGCCACAGGCTTAAAACATAGGTGTCAGCCTTAATTCCTCACTATCTTTCAATCCCCACATCTAATCTGTTGCCAAGGCCTGTTGATTTCACCTTTGCCACATCTCTCAAATATCCCCTTCTGTCTTCAGACACTGCCACCACCCTGGTACAGATCCTCATCACCTGTACTTGGACTATTACAATAACCTGCTGCTGTGTTTGTTTGCCTCAAGTTTCTCTACATGCCAATCCAGCTGCCATTTAGCCACCAAAGTGATTTTCCTAAAGCACAAGTCCAACCATGCTATACCTCTCCCTGTTACCACTTAAATTCCAGTGGCTCCCGGTCCTCTCCAAGATCAAATATAAAATCCTCTGGTTTTCAGAGTCCTTCATAACCTATCTCTCTCCTCCCACTTACCCCTTCCAGACTTCTTACATCTCACTCCCTGCATTTCCTCTTCAGTCTAATGGCACTGGCCTCCTGGCTGTTCCTCAAATAAAACATGCCATCTCTTGTTGTCAGGCATTTTCTCTGGCTGCCTACCATGCTTGGAATGCTCGCCCTCCTCATCTCTGTCTCTTGGCTTCTCTGACTTCCTTCAAGTCACAAGTGAAATCCCATCTTCTACAGGAACTTTTCCTAACCCCTTTTAACTATAGTGCCTTCCCTCTTCATTATTTCCTATTTTTGCTGTAGTTAGCTTTTTTCCCACATATTTGTTTTCTTGTCTGCCCCATTAGATTGTGAACTCGTTGAGGGCAGGATCTGTCTTTTGCCTTTTTTTCTATCTCTAGCACTTAGCAAAATGTCTGACATGTAGTAGGCACTGAATAAGTGTTTACTGACTGACTGATATGCTTAAGAATCGATGGTATATTGTTATTGCATTTACCAAATCTAATGGCCTTTGCTTAACCATCTTTCTTTACCTCTCGGCAGCATTTGACTCAACTTCTCTACTGCTGTTTGAGGGTACAGTGATCCAGTCACCCAGCTTCACAAATTTGGTGTCTTCCTCTGCTCTTTGCTCCCACTCCATATATCACAGTTTTTGTGAAATCCTGTCATTTCTTTCTGTGTAACATCTCTGCTGTGCATCCCCTTAGCCCTGCGCACACAACCACTACCCTAGTTCAGCACCTCATCACCTTGCTTTTGGACCATTGGCAGTAGAAGCCTCATTGGTCTCCCTTCCTGTGTTAGGTATTCCATTTCTCCAATGTGTCTTTCACTCGCTGTTGAAGTGATTTTTTCTAAAATACAGGTCTAGCCCTTTTACTGAATTACTCACTATAAACTCTTTTGATTCCCTGTGGTCTCCAAGACCAAATACTAACTCCTCTGCTTGGCATTTAAAGTTCTTCCTGCCTGGCCCCTTCGCGCCCTTTCCTCTCCTCCATGCACCTTCTGATCTGGCTGTGTTGGCCAGCTTGCTGTTCCTTGGATATGACACCTCATCTCCTGTTTCTGATGCATTTTCTCCTGCTGCTTGTCATGCCTGGAATGTTCTCCCTCCTCATCTCTGCCTTTTAGTTCTTCACTGGAGGCCTCTCCTGGTATTCCTAATCACTAATTATTTCCTCTCCAAGGTTGCTTTGTATCTACTTTGTATGTGTAATGGGGATACAAGATACATACCCAAGATGGCCCATTACATATGCAAAGTACATACTAGGTAACCGTAGAAGGGAGGGCACTAGCATTGGGCAGCCCCGGTTGTGTGTCTTGCATATGCCTTTATATTTTCATGTTGTCTTCTGTAATAGAATTTAAGTCCCTTAAAGGTAGGGACTATTTTCCTTTTGTCTTTCTATCTCTAGCACATAGCATAGTGCCTGGAGTGTGGTAGGTACCTAATAAATGCTTGGTGATTGATTGATTGCTCAAGTTCAGTCCCCCTTCCTGATGTTTAAACCTTTCCATCATCTATCCTCACTTTACCTATTCGATCTTGTTTTCCCCTACTCACAATCTGTTACCTTTCACTTCTGTTAGATTTCATCACTTCACCCACCTGTAGATGCATATCATGCTCTTTCCACCTCTGCTTTTAGACATGCTATATTTTCACCTAGAATCCCCTTCTTCCATTGCTTCATCTTAGAATACTTCAACTTTCTCCGTGAAACTTTTTCCAACACTCTGTTCACTTAAAAAATAATTGATAAGCACTTACTTACCTTATGCAAAGCAATAAACTAGGTCTTCAGAGGAGATAGAGTTTAGCTGGGCGCACAGTGTGCCTTCCTTCATGGATTTAGGAGTCTCACAGACAGGTTAGATATTTACACAGGCAACTAATACACAGTAATATGTTCATCGTAGAGGTGCAAAACAAAGTGCTATATGAGGTCATAGATGAGGAAAGAGATAGAAGAACAGGTTTAGAGAAATGGCTTAATGAAAGAGGCTTTTGAGTTGAGCTTTAACCCACTGGGAGAGGCAGCATGATGTAGCTCTGAGAACTGGCTAGGGAATTCCTACTTCTTATGGGGCTTGGGCCTTTGCTTTTCCTCTCTTAGCCTCAGTTTCCTCATCTGTGAAACAAAGGCATTAGACTAAATGCTCTCTGTTTTTCTAGTGAACTTTGAGTTTTTGTAATTATGTTGCATTTATTACTTATTACCACATAGTATAACAATTAATTATTCTGTTTTAATATGTTTGTTTTCCTTCTACAACATAACTTTGAGTCCCTTGAGATCAGAAACCATGCCTTATTTTTTTTTTTGTAGAAACCATGCCTCATATTTCCGTCCTCTGTATCCTCTACAATGCATTACTTTTTAAGAAAAAAAAATTCTTTTTTTTAGGCAGTTGACATGCCCAGGGTCACACAGCTAGTAAGTGTCAAGTGTTTGGTCTGAGGTCAGATTTGAACTCAGGTCCTCCTGACTTTAGGGCTGGTGCTCTATCCACTGCGCCACCTAGCAGCCCCTGCCTTACTCTCTTGAAAGACATGTGGGCAACACTCAGTAAATAGCCATTGACTGGATTGATTTGATTATGCCAAACCCAGATAATTTGTTTTGTGATCTTAAATAGCTAGTACCAACCCAAGTAGCTTGAAGACTTGGAGTGGTTAGAATATTACAGCATTGCAAGTCACCCCTGTGGTAGGGCAACTGTCATGGTCAAATAGAAAACTCAGGGACTGTAATCTAAGGAAGGTGGGCTGGAGCAAAGGGCAGACGTTTCAGCCTGGCATTTCAGCGGCAGCCCCAGGAGTAGGAGAGCAGCAATGCATGATGTCCCTACCTCTTGCTGGTTCTATCTGATTGCACAGACATGGCCCTTGGGAAGTTTTTCTGAACTCATTTCATGTTTGTAAAATGCATGGGAGCCATGGAGTGGGTTTTCAGACAATCAAAACTGCTGCTGGGAGTGTTTATGCAAAGGATCATTTTTAGAGAGTTCTGCGGAATGGAATTGGTTCTGACGTCAATTCTCAGTGTGCTTTCTCTCCCCTGGAGGAATAGCCCATATGTAGAGACAGATGTGAGACTGAAGTCCTATTTACATATAAATAATGCTGTGAGAGAATGAGAACATTGCTGTGAGCTAAAGGGAAAGGAGAAAGAGGATGGGGAAAAACAGAGTTCACTGGTAGGCCAGAGAAAGTCAAGTTCTCCATCCACTTTTCCTAATGATCTTCACCGAAATCAAAGTTGACAGTCCAGGAGGGCTTCTTCTCTAAATTTTAGAAAGACATCTAGTTTGAACCTCTGGAAAGCACTGTTCTTACGATTTTCCCCCTTTCCATGGCTCAGTGAGACACTGCTGGCTTTACAATTCCTCCTGAAGCTAGCTAGAACAGAGCTAGTAGTTTCCCAACTCTCCGTTTCCATTCTGCCTTTTAGAGGCAGATACCTGGTACAGAGAATAGACCTGAACCTGTAGTCAGGAAGATCTGAGTTCAGATTTGGCTAGCTGTACCTGTGAATCTGTGTGACCCTGGGCCAGTCATTTAACCTCTGTTAGCCTCAGTTTCCTAACTGTAAAATGAGAATGGCATATACCTCCCGGATTTGTTGTGAGGACCAAATGAGATAGTGTTCATAAAGTGCTTAGCATGGTGCTTGGCACATAGCAGGCACATAATAAACACTTATTCCCCTCTTCCTTCCCCTGAGAGTCATAGAGCTTTTGGAGTAGCCTCTTCTAAGTTGATGATTTTTGTGAAAATAACAGTCTCCCACAAGATTTTAAAAGAAATGTAGAATTCGATTGGCTTCATATTCTTCCATGAGCACTGGTGATTGGCCAATGCTTATTATGAGTGTTTTGGGCCACTGTTTCCTTTACCTGTCCAAGGATAGGTGCTGTGATAGCAGTGATATTGTTTCACTGAACCCTACTCATTTTTTAAAGTAAAAGCCATGTGGTGTTTGCAGTGTACACACCTGTGAACTGTGTTGTCTAATTGATTCAGGTAGCTGCTGTGACTCAGTCAGCAGAGTTAGGAGGACTTCCCTCGCACCTTGGGTGGCATTGATGTTTAGTCATTATTCTTCCGCCTCTGCTTCCCTTGGTGCTTATAAGATGTGATGAATTGAAAGTGAGAGTGAGCTGATGTGTTTCCTGGGGTTGGCACATGGACTTATGATAATTCTAAGCATTGTAACATTGGTGCGGTGGCTAGGAGTCCTCTGCACTTGTAGTCATTTCCAGAGGTCTCCCCGTGCTGCATATGCCTGCATATTTAACTGGGTTAATACATCTTTCCCTGCGCAGGGTTCAGAGCCATCATAATCCAACACAGGTACATGTGGTTGAGGGAACACTTGTGATCTTTGTGGCAGTGTGTTACTATGGAGGCCGTGGATGATTTCTAATGCTTCAGATCCTTTGGAAATCTCTGAGATTTCATTTGATAATATATGCCTTTTACAGTCTTGTTGAAGAATTGTATTTTGTCTCTATTCCAGGTTGACATCAGCAAATGCCATTATTTGGTGGATTTAGACACAGTATCAGAAACACCCCGAGAGCCAAGGTATTCATCCAACAGAGAAGAGTGGATCATCCTTGCTTACAGACCATTCCTTGATACTTCCAGGTATGTGACTTTAACCATCAAGGAAGCAAGTGTTTACCAGGGGTTTAAAAAAAAGTAAAGGAAATATCAGTTCTGAAAAAATGAATGTATTTGTTCAGTCTACTATTCCATTCTATGTTCCATATTTGTAGACATCCTTTTGCTTTGCAAGAAAGTGAGAAAGGTATGTTTTTTCATGTCTTATTCAGGCCAAGCTTGTTCATTATAAAATTAATAATTTAATACAGCTCATTTGTGTCATAAATCCACTGTTGTTGACTGTTGAAAAAATTGGATGTATTTATTCAGAAGTTATGCTAAAAATGTCCAATAATTTTGCCAGTTATTGTCCCCCTGAAAGGGTTTTGTGGCTCCCCACAAATGTAGGGTGTTATACCCTACATTTTAGGTAACTAGCTTAGACCAGTGCTTCTTAAACTATGAGTCATGACCTCATATGGGGGTGCGAAAAATTTGACCGCAGTAAAAGGTTTCTGAACTCACAATGACCAAAAATTAATTAGAAATCAAGCGCATAATGAATCGGAGGTGTTTCTGGCAGCTCTTGCCTGTGTTGCATCACACAACTTCACTGCTGCCTTGATTCTGAACACAAAGCATGCACACTTTGCATGGCACATGCCGTCACACCATGCAGTGCCAGCAAACACTGCCGAAACACGAAACAGGGTCGCGAGTGGACAAAGTTTAAGAAGCCCTGCTTAGACTACTGGGTTTAAAATTCAAGCCCAGGTTCTCCTCCTCTTCAGTCCTTGACTCATGTTTCTGGCCCAGATGTTTAACCTGTTCTAATATGGTGTGTCCAGTTACCTCCTCTCATTTAATCCCTTTTCTTTAGCTTTGGAAATATAAATGAAGGCTTCCTTTTTCTGATCAATAAAATGGAAAGTATGGTTTAGCATCAGCAAAATAGAGGAAGGAAAGAGCATTCATTTGCTAAAGGATATCCAGTCAACTAGTTAACACTTTTTCCCTCCTCTGTTTGTTTCTTTTATTTTGGTTCAGGTTAAAAAAATTTTTTTTTAAATTTGGAAACTCCCATTGTTGGGACTCCCTCTGCCAAAGAAGATTGCTAGCTATTGTGTATAATCTTAGAGCAGTTTGTGGGGACACTGAAATAATGTGACTTCCTCATAGTCATATATATGTATGCATATATACATATACACATATACAGAGAGACATACATATACACACACATGCAATCTCATTTGATCCTCAAAGCAACATCTGAAGTATGTGCTGTTGTTATCTCAGTTTTACAGGTGAAAAAGCTGAGGCTTAGAGCGCTGGCCTTTTACATAGCTAGTAAGTGTTAAATGTGGGATCCAAACCCAGGTCTCTCCTGACTCTCTCTTTACCTTGCTGTTTCTCATAGACTTTCCTTCATAGGTGGCCTTAGAAGTAGACATGTGTGGTAGAGTGTGGGCTATGTGGTGGAAGTTGTGGGTTGATTCCCAAATTAGGAATCCTGAACCATATCACAGTCCTACAAACCCTCTAAACCCTCTGTCTTCCTGGGGCAAATGAGGCGAGTGTATACGTGACTTATCCCAGTGGAACAGTCAGTGTCCTAGGCAGCTGTTTCCATGTAGAGGAAATTTGTGCTGCACTTCTCCCCCATATGCCTAATAATGGTGAGACCCAGATCTCACAGAAGCTCTGTATACTTTGTTTTCTTTTGGGTGATAGGTTAAACTACTGTACGTGGCACCTTAAGTTTGTCCAGTGTCATGTTCTCATTTTAGAATTGAGGAAACTAAAGTTGCCTGAGGCCCCAGGCCTGGCCCGTCCTCTTGTGCTGATGTGGCAGCAGGACCTGGACTCCAGCCACGGTCTGTGCTACAAGGAGAGACTTATTGCAGAACAGTGTGCTAATTAGTGCCAGGGCCAAAGCAAAAAAAATTTGAACAGTGAATGAAGCTAGGAAGTATCATTGGGGGATGTCTTGCTCCTTTCCACATTCGAGCTATATAGATCACCTTTGAAGTTTGAAATGAGGTACATTTACTTTTTCCATTGATGCAAAACAGCCCAGCAGGTAGTACTTATCTGTAGAGAACCACAGGATGAGGGAAGGAATGGAACACTTGTACATTTGTCTCTGGAGATCTTAAAGCCTTCAGAATAAAGAATGGTTTGTGTGGGTTGCCTCTTCACCAAATTCCTACTTAGCACAGCGCTGACATATGCAGGTAATGTGATTGAGTACTACTTTTTCAGGTTTCTGTATGGTCCTCTCTTATTCCCCATGGATGATGGTACTGAAGGGAACATATCTGGGAAGCCCTGGAAGCTGAGTGCCCTTTCTCAGAGATGCTGCTTATTGCTTCCCTGAGGAGTGAGCAGAGAGTAGGAATCAAACTGCACCTATGTCCAGGCCAAACCTTTAGAACTAAGAGACCCTGGATTCCTTTCCCGCAGTTCCCTTAAGAATTTATTTCAGGCTTCATTCTGTGTTGGGAATATAATATAAATCTGATGGATTTCTTCCCCAAGCTGAGTTGTATCTCCTGTTAACCTCCACATCCTCCACAAAGAGCTTTTGCCGTAAGTTGACACAAAGTGAGCAGCCACCTACTGCATAGAATAATGCCATAAACATATCCAATTTGCATTTCCTATCTATAATATCAGAAGATTCTTGTGGTTTCTGAAGAAGCCTCTGATCATGAATCCCACACCATCTGCATGTGTGGGGTTCCTGTTCTATCTAGTGTGCCTTGTTTGTTTGGATGAATAGAAGGGCAGAGAAAGTCATTGAAAAGCAGTACAATTTATGGAGACATTTTGTTTCCTGTATATTGCAGTAAGGGCAAAGATTCAGTGAACACATCCTAAGTTCAAAAGGAAAAACCTGTTGGATGAGGTGCAAGTCATTGGCCCAGTCTGCCTACAGGTTCCCCAAATGGCCTAGCCTGTCTGTGCTCTGTACTGGTTTTCTTTGCATTTTTTCCACTTGGTATTAGATGGCATGCATTGACCTGACTTATAAAACAACAAAAGACTACAATCCTGGATTCTATGTGTTGTCATGACAATTTATTTATCTGCCACGTATTGTGACATCTGTGGCAGACTTTGGCCCAAATATTACAATTTGGTGGCATCTGCAGAGTTCCTCAGAGCTATGGGGATTCTAGAGTGTTTTACAGACTCCTTACTGAGGCCGTAACACTCAAATCTGAACTCTCACCTGCAGAGATAACAGTGGCTTTTGTACTCAGCACCTTATGTAACAAGTAGAGGCAACTCTAGCACTTGCTTGCCATGACCATATACAAAACGTAGCTCTGTATTAGCTGGTGCCATAGCAAACTCTTTTTCAGCTCGTGATTTGGAAAAGAAGAGGTTTGATGAAGCTTCTTATATTTCAAATTCTGGGGTGTTTTTAGGAAAGGAATTTCTCAAAAGTGGCCTGTGTATATCTATTTCTAAATACAAATCTGTGGCTCTCACTATTTACTTTGGATTTGTAGGAAGCCAGCATGGAAATGTATGGGATTTTCTTGACCAAGATCTGGCTGGTCTCACAACTTCAGCCATCAGTCAGTCAGTCTTAATTAAATGTCTTTATTAAATGCCTATTGGGGACCAAGCACTATAGAAGTTTCTCTAGGGAAAACAAAATTAGTCCAGTGGTTCTTAACTTTTTTTGTGTCATAAACTGCTTCAGCAGTTTGGTGATGCACATGAGCCCCTTTTCAGATTATTAAATAATTAAAGGAAATGTAAATTTCAGTTAGAGGTTAGTAAAAATAAATGTTATTTTTTTTTTCCCATCTAAGCTTGTAGACTTCTTGAAATCTTTCCTTGGACCCTAAATTATGAATCCCTGTATTAGACACAGACCATGACTTCAGGGGTTGTGTGTGTGTGTGTGTGTGTGTGTGTGTGTGTGTATTTGCAGCTATAAGCATTGTAGGAGTTCAGAGAAGTGAGAGATAAGCTAGAATATGGAGGTTTCCTGAAGAATATGGGGCTTGATTGATGCTGTAGGGGATACTTCACCTGGATCTTAAGGGGATACTTCACCTGGATCTTAAGGGGATAGCTGAGGCTGGATAATTTCCCTAGTTTATGCAGGGATGCATATAACTTGAGCAATGAGAGCAGAGTTAGAGAATAGTATATATGAGGTGAGCAGTTAGGAAATGTCCTCATGATTTTTCTTATTATCTATTTAACTTTGTTTTTTATGAGATGGCACTGTTTTAAAATAATGATAAAGCCAAAATAAGGAGGCTTGTTTAAAAAAAATATCAGAACTATTAAAATGAAGAAAAGACAGCTGAACATCATTTTCCACAGTCCATTTTCATAATATAGTTTGCTCAAAAGTTTTAATTTTTCATGTTCTTTTCTTGTTCTATGGGTTGCAATGGATCCAATAAGAATTGGTGGCCTAACAAATGGAAAAGAATTCAGGTTCGATGGTTGGTGACAGTGGTCCTCAGATATCAGGAACCAGAGTCTGTGACCAGGAAGATTCAGAACAAGGTCATGTAGTTCAGTCCTTACTTAAGTAGGAATTAATTCTTCAAGTGGTCATCCAGGCTCCACTTGAAGACTATAGTGATGAGAAATCTACTACCTCCCAAAGCAGCTCATTCTACTTTATATTGATCTTCCCGTTTAACGTCTGTTTCTTACCCCAAATTTTGCCCGTAAGGCCAAGTAAAACAAATCTAATCCCTCTTCCTCATGACAATCCTGTAGCTACTTGAAGATAGCTATCATATTCATCCTAAGACAGTAACACCAAACTCAAATAGAGTGGGGGCCACTAAATCACACATTAGGTTTCTTGCATATTACATATTAATTTAGAAAACCACATGTTAATGTTATATTCTATTGAATTTTTATTTATTTTGTTAACTATTTCCCAGTTACATTTTAATATGGTTCTGGCCACAGCCATGTATTTGACATCTCTGTCCTGAATCTTTTTCTTTCTTTAAACTAAACATTTCTAGCTCCTTCAACCAGTCCTCTTG